AGGGGGAAGCAAACACTCTGACACCCGACACATGCACATGTTCAGACAAAGTGAGGCAAAGAATAAAAAAACACACATGCCATGCCACCCACACCCACACAGTTGTTCAGAGTGTGGAACAAGCCTGTTGAGTGGCAGTTAGCACCTATTCGGCAGCCATGGCAACCAGCTCCACGGCGATAGATAGCGCAGCCAAGTGGGTCAGAGTCTGCGAGTGTGATAACCTTGTAAAGATCACCTTCGAGGCAAATATACAACGCAAACACGCTTCTCGGTTTCTCCACCGGTTAAAAGCTGCATCTTTTAGTTCAGACGTTAACTATCCGCCTGTCGTTCACCTCTAATTCTTCAGACGAGGGGAGAGCCTGGTGAAAAACAAGGCTCTTATCTACCCATTCTACTGATGATCAAAACTGAAAAGGATGTCTGATGCTGTTTCAAAGCACTTTCAGTTCAATGAAATGACAAGTCCGCAAGGAATTCGGCTTACGTTCAGGAAACTGCAGGAGGGCTGCTAACTGTTGGGGAGATAATGAAAGCTCCTCAATGAGCAAATCAATTTTTCTTAATGTCACAGCTTTTTGTTAGTCAGAATTCATTCAAGCTCCGTCAGTCCACCTTATTCTTTACGTTAAGTACCTTCCAATTCTCAGATAATTCTATGTTGCTGCTTTGAGCAGTTGACAGCTGCTCAACATCTAATCCCACCTCGGCTTCACTTATAAACAGACAAAAAACTCTGGTAATTAGTTAGAGGATGGATCAGATTTTTGCCTCTTCCTGGAGCTTTTGTCACATACTCACAAAGCCCTGTTTGTACACAACCGCCTCTATCCAACTTAGCCTTTTATTCCTGTGACTCTCAATGAGGAACTGCAACATAAATCAATAATGCACTCTTTTGAAATGAAAATAAAGACAGCCAGTGACCAAACCCAAATCCCCCTGTGCGGTTAAAGCTCTTCGAGTGCCTCACAAGGTAAATCAAATTTCTCCCATGATCCTCCGCCACTGGGAAGCATTTCAAACATGAATATTTATTAAACTGATTTGGCCATAAAACCCTCAGAGGCAGATAAGAAACAGTTTGTTAGAGGATGAGTAATAAATAAAAATGGCAGCATCATAAGATGTGTTTGGAACTCTAACAACAGACTGAACTTCGTGACCAGACAGTCAAAATGAGTGTCCAACAACTACCATATATTCCAGTGTATAAGTCGCTTCGGAGAACAAGTTCAGTTTATTGTTTTCATCATTCTTTGTTGAAATCAGGTCTCTCTTGTAAATGAGTCCTCGGGGCTCAATGGGATTTACCTGTCTAAATAAAGGTTGAATGAATATTATATGTCACCGATGATCCGTCGTGTTTATTATGCATCAACAATGACCCCAGGGCAATGTGGGCTGGTGTCATACCAAAAATCGATTGGCGGCCGCGTGAGCATGCACGGGAGGACTCACTGTTGCAGATCTTTGAAATTTAACAAGATCAACACTTAAAAACAATGATTTGTTTGCTCGACATTATAGCAAAAGTGTGTCTCAGTTTAACTTTGGTTGGCCTTGTCACTGTTTTAAGTGCTTTATAAATAAAATGGTATGGTATGGTAACTTTTCCTTAATAAATGCACTTTAATGATCAATGTTTGGTGGGGGTGGGCAGTGGGGGTAGCGGTACAGGAACAACATATACGCCTACCAGTAGTTGCCAAAAGCCTAGAGGGCCCTATCATGCCTTTGGCGGCTGCAAAAGATAATGTTTACTCTGGTTCATGTCAGTATGAATGAACATTAAAGCGTCAGTCAAACATTGCGTCATGAATATGAGAAAAAAAGTATAAAAGTCGCTTTGGCGTACAAGTCTGGCAAATCTATACAAAAAACTGCAACATATACATCGGAAAATATGGCATTTCCACCCAGTCTGCCAAGACTGTTCAGAAGTTGCTCAACACAGAAAGGTACATAAAGGAAAGTAAATGAGGCTGCAAGAACTCAGCTGACCTATTAAAACCCACACAAACACAATCTTGCACATGTAATATATTGTTTGATGCAACAACATCAATGTGTAAACTGACACTCAGCCTTGGCGCAGACCAGGCTAGCAGAGGGGTAGCTGAATGAGTGCAAAATGGACCCGATGGCCAGGCTCAGGTCCTCGTTGCTGGGGTACAGAGTGACAGAGGCAAAGCGCAGGTAAGGCAGGCGGGGAGTTTCCTCTGGACCAATTTTTATATGAGGGATCTGCAAGAAAGAGAATGTGGACAAGATAAACAATATGAGAGGAAAGAGAAGCCTGGAAAAATTTGGCGGTTTGTGATTTTTGAGCCAAAAAACAAACAAACGAAAAGATTAGACTGATTTAAGAGGAGAAATGAAAATATTTCTGAGAAAAGTCAACAAATGATAAAAGCTGATCATATAGATTGGGATGACTAACAAGTAAAACAGTAAAGGAGTGAGAAATGCACAGATTTGTGCACATTAGTCAGAGTGACTCACCTCCTTCTCTCCACATATATGACTGACAGTAGAGCCAGAAGCAGGGCTGGAGGCTGGACCTATCACAGACACGACTCCTTTGGGTAGAATTTGGCACACTAAAACAGAACAAATGCAAAAGTGGAAGGTAAATATCCATCCATCCATTATCTTTTACCCGCTTCTTCCATTTTGGGTCACGGGGTTCGCCGGTGCCCATGTCCGGCAATCACTGTGCGAGGGGCGGGGTATGCCCTTGACGGGCCGCAAGTCCATCACAGGGCGGAAGATAAATATTTAAAGATTAATCTGTTTTGTGTGTCATATTTTTTTGTGACTGACGCAGTGGGTGCAAAAGTCTAAAAATGTAGAATGCAACAATATTGTATTAATAACTTGTTTAGTTGTATGTTTATGTTTCCTGAAAATCAAATGATGGAAACACCAGTTGGAGTAAACCCCACGTGTCTACAAACAACAAATGAAACTTGTCTCGTTTATTTATTGAAAAAATAGAGTATTTTATGTTTTGTATGTCTCATTGCCAATACTCTTACAGAGAAAGCTATAACGAAATCTTCTGACATTTATTTATAAATATCTTTTGTTGCAGTAACATTTCTGAAGAAAAAGTAATTATATCATAATTTTGAATAATTAAAGGTCCAGTACATAAAACAGGATACGATCCAATCAAGGGTAGAAAGGCTGACATGATGCTTACTCTGCGTACAGATAGGCATGGTTAATTTAGCAGAATGGGCTCTACTTGTAAATGTTTTAATTGTTTTTGCTTATCTGCTGCCTAAATTAATGTGCACTTTTCTGAATGAGCAGACTAACAAGGAGCAGTTGTGTCAGTGAGAAACAAATAACTTTTAGTTGTGTAAATTTAACGACTGTATTCTTATTTTGAAAAATATCTGTGCTTTTAATCAAATCTTGAAATTTGTTTTATGCACAACCACAGCCATTTTTTGGGATCTGTTAGCACAGTACGTGTTTGGACTGACTCAGCTACTACCACACCAAATGCTGAAAGGATCTGTGTTTTATTTGTGTTTTCTTGTGTCATCTGTTCAGCGTTCCTGCTGTAGTCAGCTCCAGCTCCTGCCTCTCTCACCTGTTCCTCTTTGTCCTTCCTCAGGTGTTCGTGACTATTCTATTTGGGGAGTGGTGGCGCAGAGGTTAGAAGATGGGCTTGTGATCAGAAAGTCGCAGTTTCACCTCCCGGTACCGTCAACATCAAAATGTGGGTGGAAAAGGTGAAACACCCACACCTCCCTCCACTCTCATTCGCCCCACTCTGGGCCCCTGAGCAAGGCCCTTAACCTCCACCATCTGCTCCCTAAACAGGTCTCTCTTGAAAATGAGTTCTCGTGTCTCAATGAGACTACCTGTATAAATAAAGGCTAAATAAAAAAAATTTAAAAAAATTCTGCCATTAGTTCCTCTATATAAGTCCTGATGGTTTGTTTCTTCCCTGTCCGTGGATTGTGCTCCCCTGAGTCATCATGCTCCATATTCCTCCACGTCTCCCTTGATGCTGAGATTTATGTAGGTTTTGCTGCCGCGCCAGCTTTTGTTTTGAGTTTGTTTAATAGATGTTCTTTATTTTATCCTCATGTTCAAGACAAAGCAAAGATCACAATAAATGCTAGCTCAAAATTTGTACAGTTGAAAGCGTTAGATTTTTTTGTCTTCACTAAAATAAAAATAAAAATAGCTGAGGCAGACATTTTGGATTGTGTTGACTTCTTAAGCAAATTTGTTGTAAATGTACATCAGTGATTACTTTCTAAAGTTTCACTAATATTGATCCTGTGGATTATGAGATATTTTGCTAACAAGCAAACAAGGTTACAATTATTAGTAAAGTTATAAACAAAGATATCGTTCACTCTATCGGCGCTCAGAGTATTTTGAGTTGACTCAACTACTACCACACCAAAGTTTAGCTCAATTTCTCCAAATTGACCAAGTTATAGTCCTGCTTGTGTTTGCTAAGTTCAGTTGATTGTGGCAGCCATGATAAATCAGGTTGACTCCAAAAAGTTTTAGATATATATCCAATGATAAATGCCTGCTTTCTAATTTGCACCTGACTCATGAGGTATTTTGCTAACAGACAGACAGGGTTAAGTCCGTTTAATATTAAGTCTTTAAATAAATAAAACAAAATGGTTAGTGCTCAGAGTATGTGTTAAAGATGACTCCCAGCTACTACAACACAAAATTTTTACTTATGGTTATTTCTGTGCTTGCTAAGGTTGATTTTATGGGGCGGCCATGTTGAATGAGATTGACTCCAAACGTTAATCAGATGTAGATGTACCTGTAATGATTATTTTCTGATATTTTCAATAAATCATCCAATGCTTCCTGCTCATGCACACACACACACACACACACACACAATGGCCACAGATACTATTGTACTATTGCTTGTCTAACAATAACCCATCAAAGTCCTAATAAATAAATCTGTTCACATTTAAATCTATAATTTGGTAAATAAGTTAAGTGAGCTATTTGATTCATTATGGTTTCAACAGGTAAAAGTGTTGTCTGTAATTTATTAAATTGCTAAAGAACCAAATGCTGGGTGTTTTCTTGAAAGGCAATAGGAATTTAAAGGGTGCATTTCACAAAACATTAAACAATTTCATTAAAATTAAACTTGTGCTCTTGGCAGCTACACAAACAGTCTCTTTTTTAATGTGACCACTTTTATTGACAAGGGTTTTAGTGCCTGTACCAGATAATTATTTCACAAACACAGCAGAAATGGTCACTTAGTTTAATTCTAGTGCTCAATAAGCTCCTTCTTTTTTTTTCTTACTTTATTTCCCATTTAATTCTTGGTCTCTGCATCTGTGTGTGGAAATGTGTGTGCGTGTGTGTGTGTGTGCATTGAGTGACTGTATAAACCCTGATTGTGCCTGTGTGTGGATGTGCATCTTTTTCAGAGAAATGTGTGCATGCGTGTATGGTTTAGTGCACGTGCATGTGAGTGCATGCTTCTGTCATTTGTAGCTGTGAGATGAGCTCTTTGATCCAGAGACCAAAAGATGCTACTAGCACACCCGTCTGTCAGAGTCTCCTGCTCATCGGTCAAGGACACATGCGCACACACATGCATCCACATCTCAAGCAGGCGCACAGAGAGTGTGCAGCAGTAGCTTGTAGCAGGGTCCATGACCTACAGAAAAGGATCAGGGAGGCTGCGTCTCCTTGGTGGTTCAGTTCATCGTTACTTCTTCTGCCTTTGCTGTCCAAAGATTTAGTTTTATCTCTGAATTTTCACAGACCAGGTCTATCTGCTGCTGCAGATCTGTTTTTGGTAATTGATGGTATGTTTATATTGTGGCCTAAATGGTACACGGTTCCAGATGTTACCGGAGGGCGCAGGTCCACTGTTTTTTAATGAGGCTGTCTTAGTGGCCCATTACTGGTCTCCAGTGACATGTAAACAAATAAGCAAAAGCTGCTTCTGGCTCCAAATCCCACAAAAAATGGTGGTGTTTTATCATTCCAATCATTATTTTAGGGTTTTGCACATAAAAAAATTGGCTTTTTAAAACAAAACAAGACTAAATGTAGTTATCTTTTTAAATAATATAACATTTTGGAATATAAATAATTTTCTACTCTGCTAAATTTGCTATTAAAACTAAATATTATAAATGTTATGCACTGGCATCTTTTGTGGTCACTTTTCTTTATGCTAATGAGACACTGTGCCTTTGAGGACTCTAATGGATTTTGCTGGATTTTATTATTTTCTGCTGCACTGTGTAAAACTGATCCAGTGCTCTTCTTCAGAGTGTATTATATCCACTCACTGGTGTCTGTGGTGTCATACTGGGAGTCTTTTTGCAGCTCATATATGTCCACCTCCACACGGGCTCGGGCAGGACCCTCGAACACGCTGTTGATGTTCTCCCTGGCCAGGGCCAGCGCCAGCCGCTCCCCACGCCCACACACAGATTGGTCATCCAGAATTGCCGCTAGAGAGAAAAACAGAGAGAATAGGAGAAGGAAAGGAGAGAAGGATGGAGGGAAGAAGAAACGTCAAAACAGCTAAGCAAAAAAAAAACATGAGAAGGCATAGAAATTTTAAACAAGATTGTCGATGTATAAAATGTTCAGTCTAATGAATCACCACCAGTGACTGACAGCAGAATGAAGGGATTTACTCATGCTCATTAAAATGCACAGCTGGAAATTTAAAGTATAAAAGAAATCCAAAGGATATAAAACACATATGCTTATTTACTGTCTTTCAAAAAGTCGTGGATACACTGAAACTGCCTTTTTGTCTTCTGTTTTATGCTTGAGTGAAGAAAAGGTGACTGGTGTCGCCTTGTTTGTACTTTCTCTAGAGCTGTCATTTCTAAACCAAACCCGGAGTTCGGCCCAACCTGGATTCGGACTGGGCCAGGACATAATAATGTGCTCAATGTGCGGGTCAGTCTTGGGCTTTGGTACGGTTTGACAAGTCATACAGCACAAATAAAACTAAACAGGAATGCGCACTATAAAATTGTGTTAATATGCTTGTAGAGGAGGAGGTGGTACGTTTATATGTTGATAGGATGAAGAAAGAAAGAGTGCAGCAGTTACTCAGACAGTGAAGAGATCGCTGGCGCATTGTGCAATAATTGCGCACGTGGGCTCGGATTTCTGTGAATCAGTTTTACGAATCATACATCACTAAGAAAACTAAATAAGAATGCACAATATAAAATTGTGTTAATCTACTTGTAGAGGAGGAGGCAGGTCTGACCGGCCGGTTTAAAGAGGTAAAAAAAAAAAGTTGCGTTAAGCTCAGATGGACAACCTGTCACCGGCCGCGTACGTCTGCTGATCCGCAGGTTGAAATGGACTTGCGACCTGTTCAGGGTGTACCCCACCTTTCGCACAGTGATGGCTGGACATGGGCACCAGTGATCCCTAAACCCTAAAAGGAAGAAGCGGGTAAAGATAATGGATGGATGGATGGATGGATGGATGGATGGATGGATGGATGGATGGATGGATGGATC